GCTGTTAAGTAGCACCAGCTGCCTGAAATTACTGCAAGTTCAAATCTCACCAGGCTCAAGATTGACTCAACCTTCCATCCTTTCGAGGTAGGTAAAATGAGGACCCGGACTGTGGGAGCAATAAGCTGACTTTGTATAAAAAAGAAACACCGCTTGGGGGGGGGGGGCGAAAGCCTTACTAAGCAGTATATACAAAAGTATAAATGCTATTGCTTAATGCATTGTAAGCTGCCCTGAGTCTCCGGAGAAAGAGCGGCATATAAATCGAACCAATAAATACAGTTGTATATTTATTGATTTTATTCATATTTTTATTGTTTTATTGCTATTGTTTTTAATTAATTACAATTGTTTGTGAGGTGTTCAGAGTCACAAACGCAAGTTGGACCACTATACAAAATGAATGAATGAATGAATGAATGAATGAATGAATGAGTGAGTGAGTGAGTGAGTGAGTGAGTGAATGAATGAATGAATGAACGAACGAACAAACAAACAAACAAACAAACAATCACTCTTGGGCATAAAAGTCATAGCCAAGCTCATACAGGAAACTCAGGATGACTTAACATCTCCTCCTTCATTTCCTTAATAGCTGTACTAAGCAGAATTTCTCCATCAACCATTATCCCAGCCTGGGATAGAAACCAATGTTGTATAAAATTCCCCATACATGTTAATGAACTTATTGGGAACACTAAACAGAATGAAGCTTCCCAGAGTATGTTCTGTTGCACAAACACACATAATAAAATCCTTATGCTACTCTATCACAGATGATTATGATTTCAGAAGCAATGAAACCACATGTTGGTATTCGTTCAAGACTAACCATGGCGCTCTGAGTCTGAGAGATGAGGAGGAAGAGTACCTGAAGGGCCAACCTCTCAATAGAGTAAAAACTGGCCGCCTTCCTGTCTGAGGATGAAGTTCTTTCCTACCACATCTCTGTTTCGTTCAAGATTCTGTTGGATAAGGGCTAAAGCTAAGTCCAATGATCCCAAACCCAACCAAGAAAAGTCTCTACGTATCTGTGGCAGACCTCTTAATTTAAGAATAAACAGTTCTACGCTGGCACAGCAAGCACCAGTTATCTAGGCAAACCCAATGGAAACTGTACAACTCATGGAACAAGCCAACATTAACACACACTAAATCACACTCTGCAGAGCTGGCAATAAGAAACTCATAGGTAACTCTAAAAACAACACAGAAGCTGTGCCTGTTTTATTGAATATATTTAAAAACAAGTCAAATGTATTTAAAACTAAACTTTTCTTGAAGAATTGCCTTACACTTTTACTGAGAACAATGAGCATTGTTTATTCAAGGACAAATCGGGCACCGCTACTTTTTCCAATATTAAATTAAATTTCCAGCACAATGACAGGATTCCATCCTTTTGCTCCAGCTTTGCTTCGCTAGATGCCAGTCTGCCATGAACTATGGGGGAAGGGAGCTGGAGTAAAGCAAAATTAAGCACTATGCCATCCCAAGGCATCGGCTCACCACTCCAAGACCACAGGTTGGGAAATGGAAAGTAACAGCTCACGATCCAGCCCATCTTTGCAGAGATAGTTACCAACACTTTCTTCAAATGTAACTGAACAATTGGGAGATAATAAGGGGGGAGGAATGAAAAGGGAAAAGTTAACTGGAAGATTTTCACATGCAAAACCTCAATTCTGGCTTTGCTTTACTGTAACCACTTGGCTTTTTAGTAAAATAATTCTTTTTGCTACACATGGAGTCGAGAGTATTTCTTTCCTACAAGACCAAACTGGAACAGGCCTGACACACAATTTTGAATTCCAGCATAAATCAGGAAACTGTAACCTTGGTATGAACTGCAGGAAATATTTCCTAAGAAATGAAACAGTATTGAGAATCCACCAGCCTATAGACATTGAGTTCTAATCCATCATTTTGCTGTCCTATTATAATCCTCCCCAAAAGAGGGAACAGCTAGCAAGAGATTGTTACTTCTATTACTGGTCCCCAGACAGTTCATAACAACATGAGTTACAATCAGCTGATCAATATATTTATGAAACAAGCTTAATTGCATCATAATCTTCCTTTCCAAAAAAAGAAACAGGGAAAGAACAACTAAGAAATTTATGAATATTTAGTATTACCCAATTTGGTATTCATCTATAATCAATTCAATACAGATAGTCCTTATTTAACAAGTGTCTTATACAGTGACCATTCACAGTTACAACAGTGGAAAAAAAGTAACTTTGTGCCCTTCACAGTTCTGTGGAGCAAAGGAAAGAGTGCAGTACACTCTGAAGTAAGAGTATAAGCACAGCATGGTTTCAGTTAGTGATCACTTCATTTAATGGCCAAGTTGCCAGTCCCAACTTGGTTGTTAAATGAGGACTAACTATATATGAATAAAATAAATATTCTACTGTACTCAATAGCCAGTTAAATGCTTTTAAAGGTCAAAAAGAAAAGCATGAAAACCACAACGTAATAGCTGACTCATATACATGTGTTTGCCATCATTGCCCAATTACATTATTGTTAAAAATAAACTGTCTGAACCAGATTTTAAAGTACACACAGATACAAAGTGTATTTTGCAGGTACAGCATTGTCAAGATTTGAAGATACAATCTACAAGTCAAGCAGGTCAGTTCCAAAATATTTCGGAAATAATTGTATTCTAAGACTTATCATACCATCCAAAGTACTTTTAATTTGTCAGGGTTCATTTCACCAAAATCCTTTGTGTAGATGTTTAGAGGGGAGAATAAGCAGTTGCCATGGAAATTAAGAAATGTGGTTTACTACCAAAATTCAACCACAATCTGCACCAATATTTTGGGATCAATAATATGGGCGGTTCCAGTATAGATAATTGAGTTATAACAAAAATTGGGACTGGAAATTACTATTGCCAAGGGACTATGTAGCTTCATGACAGCAGTTCTGGCAATCTTGGTTGCCACTGTTAAGTGAAGCTCATGTGGGTCATTAAACGAAGACCTCACCTGACCTGACTTCCTGCCAGTTTCTGTAATGACTTTGTGGGGATGCTGCGTTGGCTGAAACTCCAAGGACCCCTTGTAAGTCCCCTTCATACATCACCATTACAAGTTGGAACTATTACTGAACGAGTGATTGTAACGTAAGCAGTGGTGGGCTGCTGCCGGTTTGGGCGAACCAGTAGTTCCGACTAGCGGCTGGACCCGCCCACCCTGCCTGGTGCTATCACATCCTATATAATCGCCGGTTTTTCGATGTTGTGAGCATGCGTGGAAAGCACGCACTCACATTTTCAGTTCCGAGCAAACTGGTTGTTACAGTATGTGACGCCCACCTCTGAACGTAAGGACTAGTTGCATCAAACCCACAGAAAGAGCTTCATGTGGCCTGCACCCACTTCTTTCTCTAGGAGTATCTATATTTCAAACAGCCTCCTAGGAGTCCATGCTGTTAAGCCCCCTTGACATAGGAGGGCCCTCCTTTGGCAGGGAGGTTTTCAAATAATGTGCCAGACTCCTTGCAGTCTAGACTGGAAATTGTTAAAGATTTATGCAACTGCCTAGATCAATGGCATTGATTAGAAAGAAAGTTAAGGTTACAATCAGGAATTCGAGCGATAGCTTCTTTCAAATGAGATCCCCATGTAGCCAATTTAGAACAGCAAAAGCCGTGCCCACTTCCTTGCACCTTTTCATCCGGGGCTGGAAGCAAGCAGTCCTCATCTGTTTCCTGCTCTGATTATTGACAGCCTTCCTAATGGTTTGACAAATAACTCTTGCTCACTGAGAGAAAGGTTGCGGAGTTCATTCTGATCCCTCTCCTGATACTGATGCCATTGTTGTTCTCTTTCTGAGAACTTTTCGGGTTTTGTTAGGTTGTAATAGATTTCTGTCTCTTGGTGTTCCTTCAACACACTCTTGAATTGTCTCCCTGGTTTTCATTTTGTTGCCTATTCAATACTATGTATGTTAGTCCTCATTTAGCAATCACAAGTGGAACTGGCAATTCCATCACTAAACGAAGGGATCACAAAGTGGAAAATCATGTGATCCAGGCTATGCTTTCTAGTTCAAAATTGACAAAACTAATCAGTTTCATGCCTTCAGCTTTTGTTGGCCTCCTAACCATTCCCCCATCCTTTGGAATGCTCACTTGGGACAATTAAGAAAAAAAAGTTTGTATTTACATTTGTTGGAGAGGAAGGGATTACAAGAAGGTAAGTAGGAACACAATGAGGAATACACATCAAAATAATGTAGTGGCATTGGCGGCCGCGAATGTGCTATGCAAACAGCCCCGTTGTGTGCCTGCTTACTCTTTTATTATCCCTTCATCTCCAAACTCTCCAGTCTCAAAAGTGTGGGGGGGAGGAGTAAAAAATAAGCAATTTCTATGGCAATCTTTTCTGTGCTTAACTTGTTCTCCCTCTCTCACAGAGTAAGATTGGAAAGAAAGGGATTAAAAGAAAGTAAGAAGTCACACAATGGGGAATACACTGGGCTGTGTGCATAGTGCGCTTGCAGCTGTTGGCACATTGCTTTCAATGTACAGTATACTCCCCACTGTATGTCTGCTTACTCTCTTGTAATCCTTCCTTTAATCTCCCTCGTCTGCAAGGGGGGAAACAAAGACAAAGAGCAGGTTAACACATACTGACAATATGGTAATCACAAGGCTGAAAGACACTGCTAAGGTCATAAATGCAGGTATTGCTTACAAAATTATTTTTTCAGCACTGTTGTAAGCTTGAACAGTCACTGAATGATGCCGTTGGTAAGTGAGGACTATCTGGACAGTAATTGTATTAATTTTAATACATATTGATCTTCCTATTCATATACAACAGTGTTTTTTAGTTTAGTGTGGGATACATTAGTAAGATAAATGTCTTTGAGCAACATGGAAAAATATTTTTATGAACATGAAGCATCATCAATATTATAGGAAAATACAGTAGAAGTAAACACAAATGTGTCTTACATTACTAAAAAATAAAAACTCACCCACTTGGCAATTGGACACCCCTGGGAACTTTTTCCTTCTCTGCCTGTATACACCACTACCTCTATTCTTACAGCACTTCCTTTTGCTCCATACCTGCACAAAGGGAAACAGAAAAATAATTCATTAATAGATGATCAAAGGACAGCAACAGTTACTGTGAGATCCATTCTGAATTTCTGAAGGCAATACTCAATACTCATCTAATCCCTACCAAAGGAGCATAACATAACAAAACAGATAGATTAGATTTTTTTAAACAACAAAGCATTAAACTTGAGGCATCACGTTACCACAAAGAGAAAGGCCTGACATTGCTTCTAAAAATGACAGATTCTCTGTTTCTGAAGATCCTCAAAAACCTTAAGATTTAAGGGCAGTCACCAACATGTCTTCCAGGGGTGGCATTCACTTACTTTCTCTACCGGTTCGCAAATGTGAGCACGCGCACACACTCACTTTGCTTGCTCGCACGCACCCAGTCCACGCATGCACCCGGCCTTCCATGCATGTGCTTTGCTGGCGTGTGCACCTTCTGCGCAGGCGCCCGGCCTCAAAAATTCGGCTAAATAGAATGGCAAAGAGCCAGGGTGGGTGGGCAGGCCCACCCGTGATTTCCGCTACCGGTTCGGGCAAAGTGGTCCGAACCGGCTGAATACCACCTTTGATATCTTCCCAGGGATACACAGTGCTCTAAGACAGCATGCTAGTGCACTTACAAACAGAAGGCTAAAATGAAAGGATAGAAATTTCAAGGAATTAAATTTCATCTATACATTTGAAGAAATTTCTTCAACCTCTTACCTTATCAGCTCCACTAGGTGAACTGTCGATCAGGAAAAGCAACTCCACAGGAAATATTTTATAGAGATTGGCTAGATTAACAAAATCTTGCAAGTCTGATTATTCTTTCCCCCTTTTTATACTGCAATGAAATAGGGAGGCGTCTGCCTGAGCCACTTCCAAATTCTATCTCATTGTGACTTAGTAAAGCTTCAACCCTTTTTTCCTAGGCAACAGATCATGCATATCACCTTAATTACTCCTTAGGTGTAGCTCTCCAGCCTTGAAAATACTACCCAAGAGGCTGTAATTCCTTTTTTTAATAGTATGAACAGGGTTATGGAACAGCTTTCCCCAACTTGGCTGGAAAATTATGATGAAGTCCACGCCATCTGGAAGGATGCCTAAATTGGACTAGGCCAAACTAGAGGATTTTCAAGATCCATTCCAACATATAGAAATGTCCTATGTTTTCCCTGTCTTGTTAGAAATCTTACTTTTACTGCAAGTAAGAGACAGTTTTGTCTATTGGTTAAGGCACCAGGCTAGAAAGCAGGAGACCCAGAGTTCAAGTTCCATTGCCTAGAGCAGGGGTATCAAACTAGATTTCTTCAAGGGAAGGATCAGCATTGTACTTCTCCACGAGCCCTGGGGGGGGGGGGCAAGACGGGACGGACACCTCCTGCAGCACCGTCAGTCAAAATGGGATGTGGGGGCTTCAAGCGGCCCCTCTGTGTCCCGTTTTGGCCAGCAGAGTGCTGCAGGAGACCATCCAGGCCAAAATTGGCATATGGGGGGCCTCACCCAGGCACCCTGCACTCCATTTTGGCTGCCAGAGGCAGCGTGGGCCAGTCCTTTGCTATTTCCTGGCCGGCCCTGCAGGCCAGATTTAAGCACCCCATGGGCCGGATCTGGCCTGCGGGCCTAGAGTTATTTGTAAAAAATAATAAGAGTGGGATACATATAAATCAAATACCATATTTTTCGGAGTATAAGACGCACCTTTTTCCCCCCAAAAAGAGAATGAAAATCTGGGTGCATCTTATACACCGAATGTAGCCCCGCCCACCCACTGGCACTTACCCTTTGGCCTCTGCCTCCCAGCAATTTACCTCCTTGCAGCAAGAAGAAACAGCCCATTTCAGCTTCAGCACAGCCTAATTAGCACAAGTTGATTGTCCCTTGGATTGGCCTCCCGACTCTCAGCTGTTTCAGGCTGCAGGGATTTGCCATTGCCTATTGCTGTGCGGGCCTCTGCTGTTTGCTGCAAGGTGGTAAATTGCTGGGAGAAGATTTTTTTCTTTTCTTGTGCTAATCAAGCTATGCTGAAAACGAAAATGAAAGTAAAGCTGGGAGGCAGAGGCAGATTTCTTTTCCTTGTTTTCCTCACCAAAAAAGGTAGGAGTGTCTTATACTCCGAAAAATATGGTAAATAAGTATCCTGCAGTACTCAGATTGCTACTGTGGCATCTGAGGTTTGCAACAATACTCAAGAGGGTTTTTTGTTGTTGGTTTAAGAGATGGGGGGAGAACTAAACCCGTTCCACCCTGGACATCACTCTCTTTCACCCTTAAGAAGCTGACAATGGCAAACCATTTCTGCAATCTTGACAAGAAAGCTGCAGGAACTTCTCTAGACAGAACCAGGAGTCAGTACTGATTCAAAAGCGCTTCGCTCTCAAAAGTACACTGTGCCATGCAAATGCAATAATTTTCAAGTAAAAGTTGTCACCAAAGGTGTTGGTTACCACCTTTAAAGCGCTCTATGGCTTAGGACCTGGGTATGTACGAGATCGCCTTCTGCCTCCCACCGGCCAATACACTCCCACAGAGAGGGACTCCTCAGGGTGCCGTCGGCCAAACAATGCCAACAGGCGACACCCAGGGGGAGAGCCTTCTCTGTGGGGGCACCTGCCCTCTGGAATGACCTGCCCCTGAGGTTCGTATGATCCCCGACCTTCGCACCTTTCGCCATGTCCTTAAGACCCTGTTGTTCCAACAGGCCGGGCTGGCTTAGAATATGAATTTTAAATGAATTTTAATTAGGGTTGTTTGTTAATTTTTAACTTTGTGGGCCAAATTTAATATAGTCGTTTTAAATTGTTTTAAAATTTTGTGAGTTTATGTGTGTTTTAACATGGCTGTACACCGCGCTGAGTCCTTCGGGAGAAGGGCGGTATAGAAATTTAATAAACTAACTAATTAACTAACTAACCATGAAGAGGCATTCCTGCTTTAAGAAAAGGACAGGACAACTTTTTTTAAGAGTTTGCCATTTACAATTCGTGCAAATACCTGTAACAATGTGTGTAAGAACTGCTGTCCAACTAACAATGTCCACTTTTAAGTCAATTAATAAAACTAATTGGTTAAAGCAATTAATTTATCAAAACAGTAGAGTTCCAATCAAAATGTTTCACGGACCCAGGCAATCTTCAGTTTTCAGATTTATTCTCTGTAATTAGGACTACAAGCACAGTCCTAATGGAGGGACATGGAGGGAACCGGACTTTAGCTGAAAATTAAAGAGAAACTGTCTTCCTTTAATCACCTCCTTTAAATATATATATATATACAATATCTATGCTACTCAACTCTCTAATGGGCAGTATAGATAGATAGATAGATTTTATTAATTCAGATTCTTAATTAATTTATAGGGGGCTGACATTAAAAAGAAATGGGAAATGGGAAAACAAAGAAAAATACAAAACACAAAGAAATCACAAGCAGACCCAAAGATAAACCCAAAAACAAACCAGAAAAAGTGTCACAGAGCAAAGAACATAGACAAGATTACATCCAGGAACATTTTAAGTCTTTGATTATAACCAATTTAAGAAAAGAGAAAACTTCTTAACTGAATGATTCCAGCAGGGTGGATTTGATTTAAATCAAGCTGATTTAAATCACAATTCAAATCATGATTTAAATCACTAGTAAAAAGGCTTGATTTAAATCAACTCGATTTAAATCATAATTTTTAAAGAGCAACTGTCATCTCTGCTACTCCTTTGATCCACTGTTGACTCACCGATAGTCCTAATGTTGCAGAATATACAACCCCATGCTACGTAACTAAGCTCCATTTCATGCTGAATAAACGAAATTATTTATGTATCTTAAATAGAAAACTATTTTACCATTTGTTTAGCAAGCATTCAAAGTTACGATGGCACTGAGAAAAGTGACTTGTGAGCAGTCCTCACACTTACAACCATTGTAACATTCCTGGGGTCATCTGATCATCACTTGTGACCTTCTGAGCTGACTTACAATAAGCAACAGGGAAAGCTGGGTCCAATAGCCACCATGTGAGTCACTTAATGATGGGGTGATTTACCAAACAACCATGGCAAAATAATAATAATAATAATAATAATAATAATAATAATAATAATAATAATAATAATAATAATAATAATGGTAAAATCAGACATGACTTGCTTAACAATGGAAGTTCTGGTCCCAGTTGTGGTCTAGAGCTAACCACAGTGTTTGTAGTTACCTATGTTCTATGGCTTCTTTACACATTCATTCCTCATACCATAAATCAGTGTTTCTCAATCTTGGTAGCTTGAAGATGGGTGGACTTCAACTCCCAGAATCCCCCAGCCAGCAGTGCTGGCTGGGGGATTCTGGGAGTTGAAGTCCACCCATCTTCAAGCTACCAAGATTGAGAAACACTGCCATAAATTATGCTGAATCCTCTTTCTTCTTTCTCTGTATATTTAGTTTGATGCTACTATCAGAATTCCTGATGGTACCACTCGAAAATATGGGCAGCTGCTTTCAAACTAGGCTTCTGACTTAATGTTGCTGTTAGACCAGGGGTGTCAAACTCACGTCATCACGGCGCTATCATATGACGTACTGGAACTTTTTTCCCTTTCGCTAAACCAGGCGTGGCCAGCGAATTATTTATTTTATTATTATTATTATTATTATTATTATTATTATTATTATTATTATTATTATTATTATTATTATTATTATTATTATTTCAATTTGTATGCCGTCCCTCTCCGAAGACTCAGGGCGGCTCACAATGCATTTAAAATCATTATAAAAAACATTTAAGAATTAAAAACATTAAAAACATTAAAACTCATTCACACCATTCATGGCCGGATCGCAAAAGCGAGATCAATGGCCCCAGGCCTGCAGGAAAAGCCAGGTCTTCACCGCTTTTTGGAAGGCCAATAGGGTGGGGATGGTCTGGACCTCAGGAGGTAACTGGTTCGAGAGAGCTGGGGCAGCCACAGAGAAGCCCTCCCCCGCGGGCCTGCCAGCCGGCATTGTTTAGCTGACGG